TTTGATGTGGTGGTTGGTTTCTGCTACTGAAGCTGGCATTTTATCTTCTTGCATCAGATTTCTTCCCAAATTGATGTGACTCAGACATATGAAACATATTTTTCTTCAGATTTTATTCCTAAAATATGTTTTTGCTGTACCTTTAAATTACATTTGGCTGACCATCTATTTGGAATCTCCAAACTTCTTCCCACAGGTGTAGTAAAGAAGATTGGGGTCAGGGACTTTGGGAGTTAGCAGAAGTCTTTGTGGTGTGGGCGAGGCCTTAGCAAGCAGGGATCTAAGGCGTGTTGCCTGGTCCTCACACATGACGATGGCTCCTCACAGCATCCTTGCCCATCCTTCATTGCAGCTTTGGCAGACACATATGGAGTCCAGTATGAATTTCAAGATAGAGCCACTGATAGGCTATTATTCTCTTTCTCTTTAACTGGCATTTGAATGCACAGGGGGTGTCGCACTTACGGTTTAGGGTTTTCTTTCCCAGAGAAGTGTTTGGATATATTGTAACATCAAACCACACTAGAAAGACTGTTCTCTTCAGCATCTAGTTCTTATGTGTGTTCTGTCCCATTTGTTTAAGTCATCAATTTTTTTTGTCTTGGAGCTGTTTCATTAGTAAGGAATAAACATAAAGGACTAGTTCCTACATTTGCAAAGGAATCAGAACCACACAACTTCCCTCATCTCTAAATCTGAGGGCTAGCCTATTTGAAAAAGAAACATCATTAAGAATTTCCTGGAGTCCACAGGTAAAATCCAAAAACTAAAGTCTATATTAAACTAATTATTTGCTACACACTATTAGAAATCATAGTTGGAATTTGGAAATACTCAGCCTATTCAAGCTACAGATTTCTGAGATTGCTTCTAGATTACTATACTACTTACCTCTTTGAAACATTATTGGACAATTGGTAACAGTGTTACATATAACATGTATATACATACAAAACCAAGAGACCCTGTGTCTTTCTGTAGGAAAACATTTACATAGAAATAACTGATTCATATTTATTAAAAAGTATTTTATTATGTACTTAAAAACATACAAGATTTAGAAAATAGAGACATTGTTATGGAATAGTGCTTTGGACCTCCATGGAAGCAAAGTGTTACAGAGGAGGTAAATTTTGAGATATCATGGGAAACGATTTTGGATTGTGTCCTGAAATAAAAGAAAAATGCCAATATAGATAAGGGGAGGGGATGGACAGTGGGGGTAAAGTGCTATGCTAAAATAACCCAGCACAAATTTAACTGATGAAGCGAGGTCTCACATGGAAAAGCAAAAATCAAGAACATCTGGGTTGAACTAGTTACTCTCTAGATGAGAATGGTGCATTTTAATCGCTAGTCAGGCAGGAATGACAGCATGGGGTACACATTGACCCTCTTTCTTCGATTCTCTTTAAATAGTTAGTATGAAAAAACCTGTCTTTCCCATGCATATTTTCCTGAGTACATAGTTTTTATTTATGTCTCTGATGCCTCATCTCTCCTCTTGAACAGCACATACGTTGCACTTGAATGTGGAGTAGAATAGAGTCCTGACTTCTAGCTCTGGCTTAGGCACAGCTTGTATTGTGACTTGGGGCAATTACTAACTTCTAGGCCTCATTTTTTTTGTCATCTCTAAAATAAGAGGTTGAATTAGACAGTTTCTGTCTTTTCATTTGGTGCCAGTATTTTGTGACTCATGATTCCAAGTGAAAAGGCACCTGCTGGTGAGGTCATTTGGCTTATTTTTATTGGAAAGCATGGCAATACTGCGTACTTGAAATTTGTTCAATCATTTCTAACATACACAAAATACACAAAACCACCCCAAAAGCCCATGAACACCTTGGGGAGAAACATAATTTTGATCAAAATGCATCCATGTTGCCCATGGTCATTCTGCAGTTTGGTGAATCCTACCCATGTGAGGACTCCCAAGGGCAAGATGATCTCTCATGTCTGATTGGATATGAGTTTCTTTGGCAGCATTTATCAAAATCAATCTTCACTAAAAGTGTATTTTTTACAAGAAAGAAAATCATCCTGCTATGATAAGAATGTACTGTTTGCTCTCCCCTGTATTCAACCGCAATTCAGAATCTGATAAAAGTGATTATCACAAGTCCTTCAAATGCCCCATGTTTGTAAACCTCTATCGTTTTTACATTTTCTCACATGCTGCTGAAGAAACTGTGAGGGGTCTTGCTTTTCTGTGTCTTAGGAGGGGAGCAGGGAGCTCCTGGATTGTGACTAGTGAGCAAAGACAGACAGGCTAAGGGCTGCCGCTCCTGCTGTCTCTGTTGCCCACTCATGGTCTCTTTCTATTAGACTCGCACTTGGAAGGACATTTGCCAGACCCAGACTCCTTGAACCCCTGTTATTTGTGTGTCTTTTCTCACCTTCAACATGATCTGGACGGGTGTTTTCATTTGTTAAAAACAACAAGACATTCACCGGGAAACTTCTGCTGAAATTGTTTCAGGTCCTCATAGCTATTTATTCTCTGACATAAACTATAATTCTCCATTTCCCTTTCTCCCTCGTCGGGGGAGTTGGTAGTTTATGGTGGACTGTCAGTGGAATTTGAATGAAGAATACAAGATTTCAAAGAACTACCAAGAGATTATATAGCAGGTTGTATTGTAGTATTAAGGAAAAAAGTATTCTTGATCACAGTTTAGCAGCACAAGAAAAGAAGAACTTATGAAACAGTGTAAAGGTTTTAGAATTGGTGGTTATACCTGTGAAAGAATTTTCTTTGAGGAAAGAATATAAATCATGGATTGGCTAAATAAGGGATTTCCTTCATATGATTTAAAAAAAAAAAGCCTAGGGCCCATCTAAGTGATCTCAGTGTGGGGTAGGAATGGGAGCTAAGGACTTTTTGCAGATTTCTGCTTAACAGCAGATTTAAATTAAAATTAGGGTGCTGTTGGACAGGTCTGGAAGATCTAGAGAGCCCTGAAATGCAAGAGAAATGTAGACAAAAAAATTTGGGAAAGAGAGTGGGACCAACAGGAATGCCTCCATTTGTAGTTTAAGAAAGGATTCTAAAATTGCAAGGCAACTTCTGAAATGTATTTGTTCTTAGGTGCTTGAATTCTGGTCATGGTATTATTGTAAACTCATTTTGCTAATAGATAAACCTGGGTATACCCATGGATATTGGTTGAAATATTTCAGGCCTCGATAGATAACAGAAATCATGATGATTCAATTGATTCTTTACTCAAATGCCATTGACCTGACAATTTTATCAAGACTGTCACATAAGAGCCTTCAAAGCAGAGATCCCAGTTAAGGTCCCACAAGTGCAAAAAAACAGAGACCAGGTCCAGCTGAGCCCAAGCATGAAGCAGAGAGAATGAGTATCAACAGCTTCTTGGCTGGAGGTGGTTGAGGTCATATGATTTTTTTTTTCCGACAGAAGCAGTGTTCTAAAGATAAGAAAACAAATTTTTCTTGTCTGAACACAAATTTCACTAGCACTTGTACTATCTTGGTGCTCTAAATACCAAGAGGAATATACAGTCTCTATCCTAAACTCCAAGGGATGCCTGGTGAGGCAGTACTCAGGAAGAACAGGTCTCTGATCAAAAAGACTCAGAGACCTCTGTTGGAGAGTTACGAGAAATCTGGGTTAGGAGCTCCTGGGTTGAAGCTACTCGGTAGTCTATACCCAAACCTAGAATATGCCCTCAGGACATAGTCCTACTTGTGATAGGAATACTAGCAATGCTCAGATAGGTGAGCATTAGTCTTAGGACATCATAATTCATATGAGAATTTCAGTTGAGTGTATCGTGTGTTTATAATGAGACAGGATGAAATTTCACATGTTGGAGAAAATGTCTAAGAGCTTCTTTCTGATGAATGTAAAATAAGTGGCCAAGGTCCCCTTTCTCTCCATCCTTACTCTCACTCTTCATAACCTTCTCCAGATTGGGCCTTTTTGGAGAGAAGTCACTGGACATTTAAGTCTAGTTTATTAGGCTGAGCAAGTCACTTGGGCCTCAGCAATGTGGTGCTGTAAATCTCTGAATACTGCACAGGCTCTGCAGGGGCTCAGGCCTCAAGGTGATGGCTTGTTGGTGGTGTTAGCACAGCTGGTATTGCTCTCAGTTTCACACATCCATCATTCCTGCCTGAGTTGAATAGGGGGAGCAAGGTTATACTATTCTGACTGCCAGCAGCAGTTTGGATGATCAGATTGCCAAGGTGCTTTGAGGGGACCCAGAAAAAACTAAGTAACTGACAGGTGAAGACTTGGAGTCATGATTCTCCAAAGGTCCTAGGATCTCATGGTCCTAGATCACACTTGTGTGTGAAACAGTTTCAAAGGTATTTTAATATCATTCCCTGTTCTTGAGTTCTTATAGGTTGAGTCCCTGTAATGATAGAGCTATCACTATGAACCCTCATCTAGACTGAGACCCCTGAAGCCTGTGTTGGCAACAGCATGCAGTCTTGAGCAAATACAGGAGGATGCATGGTAAAACAGAATTCCCTCTAATTCTGTTTGAACACACTTTGTCCTCTAAAACTCTGCATCTGTGTTCATGTGAGTATGTTGAAGAGAAGGAACCAGGGACGTAATTGGTCTCCTTGGTTATGAAACTATACAAATGAACATATTATCATCTAAGACAAAGAAGGTCCAAACCAATCTAATCTTCTTCCCACATTTCTAGAGAACATGGGTAGGAGTGGGATTTTCCTCTGGCCCTCTGACAAAACGTCTTCAACACAAGAAATATTCCTCTAAAATGGTAGGTCTGCTCCCAGATTTAGAAGCAACAACCAAGCTTCAGAATTGCTGGGAGTGCTTGTGCGTACCCATGTGCCCACGTTCACACACTGAAGGTGACACTGGCCCCACTACTTGCTAAAGAAATGTGCAAATGAAACAATAATTTACTGTAGCTATCAATAAAGAGCTATACATTGGGATCCCCTCCCCCAAAGTGACTTTGACTCCTTATCAATTACTTCTCTGCCAGATGATCAGTTGAACTCAGAGGAAAAGAAGAAGAGAAAGCAGCGGAGGAACAGGACAACCTTCAACAGCAGCCAGCTACAGGCTTTGGAGCGTGTCTTTGAGAGGACACACTACCCGGATGCTTTTGTGCGAGAAGACCTCGCCCGCCGGGTGAACCTCACAGAAGCCAGAGTGCAGGTAACTGAAGTATTCCTCCCTTCATCTCTGAACACTAAAAACAAATTGTTGATCTCAAGCTGGAGGTGAGACTACTAAAAGTTACAAATGGACAGCATGAGGGCAAAATTCGTATCTGTGTTTCTTCAGGCAGCATAGTATTTTTAAAAATTAAATTGGATGTCAACAGGTAGGATAGACTTTCCCCACTACAGGTCTTACTCCTCTTCACTGTTTTCTGCCCTTCTACATTCATGTTAAACATTGTCCAGCTGAACATTCGAATGGCCAACTTAAGGTCAACATTGAATTTGAACCTATTCAAGTCAATAAGTGGATACCATTCTTCATCTTGCAGATGAGCAAAGTGATCCAAAGGGAGGTTAAAGTAATTTGCTCCACATCACGCAGTCAGGAAGTGGCTGAACTAGGATTTGAACACTGATATGGAGATTCAAGATGAAGTAATTTGAATAAATAAGTCCCCTGACTAAATGCTCTTTCAAATACTGCTTTGCTGTCTTTGCTCCAAGTCAATCTCTTATGGTTTTCCATATGGCCAGTGATAGACTGCTACTTTCATGGTAGTGTCTTGCCTTGCGGAAGAAATCATCATTTGTATATCTGTGTTTAACTCCCTTCAGGACTTCTTTCTGCAAATGATAACCCTTTTGACTGACAGGGACTTGAGCCAGAACCAAAGGACGTTGAGGGTAGAACTTACAATGCCAAGAAACACAGAACACTGTAAGAGACTCTTGCTGAATTGAGGGAGAAAATCTGGAGGCTTCTTCAGCCTGAAAAGAAACTGCTTCCATGAGGAGACAGGGAAGTTATTAGAATTGCTCCCCAGGAGAAAAGGAAAATAATTTCAGTGACAAAAGGGGAAAGTTGTCTGGGTCTTTTGCTGGCCCTGAGGATAGGTTAGGAGAAACTAAGTGTGAGCTTGACATTTCCTCCAGACTCATGTGACAGTGATTCATGGGGACAAACCTAGTTTTGTTCTCTCCATCCTGCCACCAAAGCAGACTACTCAGGTTTGCCTCCCCACATCCTCTCCCTGTGCCATCACCATAGCACAGTGCTGCAAGCACACTCCCTATTTCTACCCTCAGATCTCTTCCTCATTCCTTCAAAATCTCTTATCTTTTATGCCCCAGGATTGGTCCACAGTGGTCTGATGAATAAGCAATTTTAGACCAATAACTCCCAGTACCTGAAAGTGTCACCTTTGCCTTGGTGATCTGACCTATAATTAAGTAAATTTGGACAGGCAATGATGGAAATTATATAAAAAAAAAACAGATATAGAAGAGTCATTTGGTGTTTGGGAGTTATTGTGACCCATCACAGCAATAAGCAAATGCTTTTCTCCTATGCTCAACTGTTTTATCTTCTTCCATTCTCACCCTGATGTGTTCTCATGGCTTTCAGAGGTGGGACCATTTTCTCCATGAGCAGAACAAAGCAGACCTCTTCTATCGTAACTTTTTTCTTTCTCCAAGAAGTCTTCCCTACCCTAGTGTGAACCACTCCAATCTAGACCCTGCCTTTTTTATATATTGCATTTGTAATGGCATGACATGTGCTATATTGACCAATAGAGGAGCCAACTTTCCCAACTAGACTGTGATAACCTCTTAACTGGAAATCATTAACTCATCTTTGCAAAAATTAATCCCCCCCTCATGTATCAGGTGCTCGCTATACTCTTAGGCCTGTTTTGGACTGAATAAGTCCGAAAGAGTTTGATGATTCCTATGAGAATTCATGATCGACTAGAGGAAGGAATGATCAAGTCTGCCTGAGGAAAAAGAGAGAGAAGTAACATTTATTAAGCACCTTTTCAGTAACAATTCTCATAAAAATCCTGTGAGTAGGTATTATCTCCATCTGGTTGGGAGACAAAGAATCAGAGAAATTAAATCACTATGCAAGGACAAATCTTTAAAGTAGTGGAGTCAGTGGAGTCAGTATTTTTAATTCAACTCCGTGAGACACTAAAGTGATATTCTTTCCACTACACTATTATACAAAGGAGGTGATGTTAATGTTGAATCTTGAAAAACACATCTGTTGACACATGACCAGAGAGGAAAACAGCCACAGGCAGAGGGAACTCTTGGTGGGAATGCTCATAGGTGGGAAAAAGCTGAATATACTTGTAGTCTGGGAAGAGTGAAGTAACGGACCAGTGCATGAGGTACAAGTGATCCAGCAACCCATTGCTTGCTCTCCGAGGGGTCAGTCATGGGTCCTACCTCTGGCGGCATGCTGACTGGAAGTGCTTCATCATCTTTTGTGAGAGTTGTCAGCCTTCACAGCCTTTATCATAGCCTACCGGGAAAGGGTAGAGCATACTTCTCTTTTTCTGGAAGCAATTCAATACATCTCTACTGTCTTCCTTGGGATGGCATTATAATTCCACCAGACCTTCACTCATATAACCTGCTCTTCTTTGTTTTCCTTTCCCTCCTCATGCCCTTCTGGCCTCCCTACCACCTTCTAGGTGTGGTTCCAGAACCGAAGAGCCAAGTTCCGCAGGAATGAGCGAGCCATGCTGGCCAATAAAAATGCTTCCCTCCTCAAATCCTACTCAGGAGATGTGACTGCTGTGGAGCAGCCCATCGTACCTCGTCCGGCTCCAAGACCCACTGATTATCTCTCCTGGGGGACAGCGTCTCCGTACAGGTGAATGACTGACCCACTCTCCCTTGCTCCACTTCCACATGTTTCTCAGCAGTTGGTCACACTCACAGCTGCGTGTGCAGCTGGCTGACGTTTCTTACTGAGTAAACCTCTTCAGAGACATTCAACTCGCTGACATGCCCAGATTTTCACAGGAGATTACTAGTTGCCCCAGGAGCAGGGTTTGGGGCTGAAGAGAGAGGGGCAGGCCTGCAGCAACCTCCTCTTGGACTCAGGAACTCTTGCAAAGGCTTCAAAGATGGGGAGGAATCTAAAAGGAAAGATCATTAAGCTATGCCCAGAGTCCCTCTTGCACCATTCTGGAATGAAACTGTCTTCCATTTCCAAATTTGAGGAAGATTTGTTTTATTATGTTCAAGTAGGAATTTAATTTGTAGGGCTCTTAGTGTAGGACCCAAGGCAAACTGCACAGTAAATCTGATTTTGACCTAAAGGAAGGAATGAGGGAGAAAAGAAGGAAGGAACAAAGAAAGGAATGGAGGGAGGGAGGGAGGGTGAGAGGGAGGGAGGGAGGGAGGGAAAGAGAAAAGGAAGGAAAATCAAAGATTATGTGATCACTTTCATGGCTACAGTTCTTTGTCTGTAGGTAGGGAAGTCTTATGATTCAAAATACCTTCCTATTCTATTGCTAATTCTTATCTAGTACTCTGAAGGTTTCTTTGGAGGTCAGTTTGTTTATATGGGCTCTTTTTTTTTAAATAGAAAAAGAATATATAATTTACATTTAATTTTATATTGGAAAGATGAACATTTTTAAAGACGCACGTAACAGAGTATTATTTCAACCTCTTGAACAAGTTTTTAACCTCAATTTACTATGCTGTTCAGAAAATGTAGGTTAATGCTGGAGGGAAGCTGAGACACAAGTGCCTACCACATTGTTTCCAGTCCAAAGACCCTTTCTTTGAACTTAAATCTAAGTCCTCTGAGAAACCAGATCAAGGCTCTGTGTTCTCTTTGGCTCATTTCAGTAGTGGAAGAAGCATTCACCAATTCATCTGCTATGTTTTTATTTACTTTTTTTTATTGTGAAGGCTAATTGATGGTTTAAGGAGGTTTAAAATGAATGAGAGATTACCTCTCAGCTGAAGCTGAGCTCTTGATGTGAAATCAAATTATTTTCCAAAGCTGATCACTCTAATCAAAGCCAAAGTGCTCACCCAAATGTTTTTATTTTTCTGCTTGTTACATACCAGTTCCTTGAAAGAAATACCATAAACGCATTTGGAAATGTCTTGTAAATCCCCCCATTGTGAAAATAACCTGCATTGCTTTGTTTTAGTTCATAGAGACTCCATACACAGGAAATTGGAAATTTCTATTGCCCTCAGACATGGAATACCTTATTTGAGGTTTTTTTTTTAAGATTTATTTATTTATGCATGCAAGAACTGGGGTACAGGCCAGAGGTTGAGGGGGGGTGAGAGAACTCATCAAAGACAGAGCAGGAAACAGAACAGGCAGATCGACTGAAATACACTGCTGAGGGGAGCAGCGGGCGAATCAGGAGAGGTCTGCTGCACCATGGGGGTAGCTCCCTGGCCGGGGATCAAACTTGTGCTCCCGTGACTGTGGTCAGCTTCATCTTCATAGATTGCATCTTAACCCCTTGCACCAGCAGGGAGGCCCCTAGAATACCTTATTTGAAAAGATGACCCTGTGTATGCTATTTAAAACTGAGACTCCTCTCCCATAGAACTTACTAAAAACACATTTTGAAGACCTTTTTGAAATCACGTATTCTTTCAAATTTTGAACAAATTGAAGACTGCTTTGTTTCTCTGAGAAATATTAAGTTCACAGACCCATTAAATGCTTTGGAAATAGATACTGTTCAAAGTTCAATGTTTATAGGTCTCTGGTTTGCATTTGGACAAAAGCAGGAAGCCTAACTTCTTTTTCTGCCTGGGTCCTAGTTAGGAATTTTTCACACCAGCTCTAAACAATCCAGATGACTATCACATGGTCCTAAACAGTGACAGACTGATGGCAGGAGACTGTATGAGTGGGGATTAAATCCTTCCTGAATTAATTTTGGGTTAGAATATTTGGACCTCGGCAAAGTTCAAGCCCCAGTGACTGCATTATATGTATTTTGTCTGTGGGCATCTCAATGAAATTATGAACATGCAATTTGTGTGTGCCTTTTGGGGAAATGTTTTATTTTAATCTGAAAGATTATGTAGAAATACTAGATACATTTCTTAAAATATTGATATTTCCATCATATAGATACAACTAGTTTGTTAACTTTTACAACTGCAGTTCACTATTTTATATAGTATAGATGTAGTGTACATATTATTTTGTATTTTGCTCTCTTCACTTAAAAACCTATAACCTAGTACTTTTTACTCATTTCATGGTATACTTTTATATCATTTCTCTCTTAAGTACAGATTTGTAAAAATAAAACAATTTCATAGCCTCTGATTGTTCATATTCTGTTTGAAGAATAAATTAATCTGCAGATATAAATAGAAAGATGATGGTTTTAAGCAGTTATTTAATCAATAATGTTTTTGACCCAATGTTAACAGAAGTGTTTATATATTTTGATTAACTTCTAAAATTGGCAAAAAGTTATTCTGCTCCGTGGAGATTATTTGCTGTCTTTTGAACCAAAATACATTATGATGTCACATTTTGAAAGTTGATAGGAAATATAAGTCTTGTTAAAGAAATATAATAGAAGCACAAGTGATAAAAAGCAAAGGAAATGATAGCCCTTTTGTGTTATGGAAAATTTACTCTCTCTTTCTGTTGGTACTATCCTGTCAAGTTAGTAATCGCACATGTGACATTCATTAAAAGGCATTTGTCTTGGTTAATCCTTGGAACATTCCTGCGTTGTAGCTCTGCCCTTGCTCTGATTCCAAAGAAGAGACTAATTCAGCAAGCAGAATTAGACCCAGGGCTCGTGACCCCCTGCTTCAGTCCAACATATTAAGCCACATAACCATATTTCCATTCAAATTAAACCTTACATTATATTGAAAGTGGTGAAAAGGATAAGACTGGGAAATTGCATAAGTATAGTTTTGATTAGGGTCTGTCTCAGATCAGAAGAGCTTGCCTGCAGTTGAGGTCCAAATTCTGAGCTATGTGGGTACCCTATCCCCTTAGGATGACTGATGTGGCTTGGTCATGCAGACAGTTTTGCCAATGAAGACAGTTCACTGACTTTATAGCTCTGCGCTAGAAGAAGCTATAAAGAGGAGGAAGCCAAGACCTAAGCAATTGTGTGCATGTGATCAGAAATATGGGATAGGAAATAGCCAACATACTTATTCCTGGGGGTCTTTTATATCCAGAGTGGTGGTGGTTTAATTTATATTAAAACTGGGACACTTTTGAGAGTGAAAGGGTGCGCTATTAAAATTACATTAGGACAACAGGCATAAACTGGGATTGTCCCTGGCAAAGTGGCACACACGGCTCAATCTATTTATAGCATTCCATGACCTCGTTCATTCCCAGGAGTATGTTAGACGTGATGATGTCAGGCAGACAGGGAGTCACCAGAAGGAACAAAGCATTCCCTGACAGGACACTTCTCTCTGGCAGGTATCTTCTCGAAGCCACCTACACAATGCTTGCTATTGGCACACATACCTACTGCTTAGCCTCTTAGGCAAATGAAAGCACACCCAAGCACCAGCGTTATTAAGACTCACTTATCATGTAGTGTTTTGCCTCTTGGGTTAGTGGTGTTGAACCAAGTCCTGCACTTTTGACTATTCTTTTAGATGAAGTAGTCAAGAAAACTTTCCCCAGAGACATCCTTGTCTAGGAGAGAGAGAGCTAGAGAATGGTCTCACTCTTTCCACATTTCCAGAGGGAGGGCTGGGCTCCCAAGAAAACTAATGACAAATGAAAGAGAGGCCAGCCAGCCCTGTCCACAGTTTTCCTCCCCCCGTCTCCTCCTCCCCTCATTTGGTCGTGGTCACGGTGCTGCCTGACATCTGCTGAACGCATTTGGCTCATTTCTCCCTTTCACACTTTCAAAAATAGATCCTCGTCCCTCCCAAGATGTTGTTTACACGAGGGGCTTCATAACGGATTCTAACGGAAGACACTGAAAAGGTAACTTGTCAGAGGGGGACGAGGGTGGCTGCTGGGGGTAGGGTATAAGTGGGATTAAGTGTGTTTAAGAAAGAGGGGCTTGCAGTCCTAGAAGTGTAAGCAGTGAGGCACTCGAGGGGGACATGCTATTGGAAACCAGAGCTGCCAGAAAATGAGTCCATAAAGTTGAGGGTAGTCTGATATGAGAGCAGGACTCCTCCAAGATTACTGTGGATATGAATCACCTGGGATCTTGTTACATTGCAGGCTGGGACTCCATAAGCCTGGCAGGGGCTGGCGTCTGCGTCTCTAATGCTCCCAGGTGATGCTGATGCTGCTGACACTGGCTACATACTTGGAATAGTGAAGCTTTAGATGGTCGTAGGGTATCGGGCAAAGGTCTGAAGAACTGTGTTCTTAACCTGCCTCCTGTTGCTCATCAGTCCAGTTGGATCATCAGTTTCTTCTGTAGCCTTGGATCTAAGATTGCGTTAGCAATAGTGTCCCTATTGCATATTTCAGGGGGACATTTGCAACCTATAGGCTATCAATGTGCATTTTAATAAGAAACACAAAACCCCTTGAGACAACAGCAAGATGCAAGTCTTCAGTTTAAAAAATATTTCTTGACAGAAAGTTTTCAAACAACGGGAGATCAGACTAGTTTGCAGTACGAACTAAGGCTTACCAATGCAACGAGGTTCCAAATGTGTCCACTTTCAGGGCTCACATGCATTTAAAAAGTCACCTTGTGAATTTTAAAAACAGATATTAGAAATAATGATTTCAATCATAAGTGTTCATTTCCAAAAGGATTTATGGGCTATCTCTATATTTCTTAAACAGTAAATTTCCAGAGAAAAACCCTTATAGAATTTTCTTAGATGAAGCTGGCATACTTCTGTTCTTGCATGGACAAAAGAACAATCCAGAGTGACAGTTTCCCAATCTCCACACATTGCAAAGTCGTGAGCGTTCAAGCTGTATAGCCTTTGGAAAAATCCTTGTCTGGTGAAATCCTAGAATCTCAAAAAGACACACAGACCTCTGGGGCTGACAGATTTGTCTTTGGGGTGATATTTTTGACAGTTTGTCATCATTTGTCCAAAAGGACCAAATAGTAGACAGAGTTAGAGTTGAAAACCTAGTCAGGCATTGCTCCTCCCACCCACTCCTACCCCAGGCTCTGCTCAAATGTATGGTGATTTGTGGGACTTACACTGTGGATGATTAGAAAGCAGGCAAGGGGGGATGGGGGATGCCTGTAGATTTCCTGACTTTAAAATCATACCATGTATAGTATTAGCTGTACTTCCTCGGTGCTTGGCCTTGGGCATTGTTTTAACACATTCTTCTTCACAATCTTTCAGGGTAGGTTAAAGTGATCAAAAATATTTTGTCCCCAATGAAAACAGAACTCTAACCCTGCTGGTGGCTAGCATTCTGCTGTCTATGGCTGAGCTCCATCTGTTAGGAATCTCCAAATAAGGAGATGAAAAAATCTCAAGCTCACTTAAATGTGTCAGTTCTATGCAAGTCCCAGTGCAGATAAGCTGAGTCAACAGATGGGACACAAACATGTCTTTTTCATCTCTAACTGCTCAATGGACTTTATTCAGCAGTGTGTTTCTTACTCACAGATCCAAAGAAACTTACATTCCTAAAAAGTAGCTTAAAGTGGTGCTTTCACCAAACCCTATAAATCCAGTGACTGTTCTCAGCTCATGCCTACTTCATATTGGAGGAATAGGTGGTCCTTACTCAGAAGTCAAGACAGATGGACAGGATCTCTGGGTGTTGGTAAGCAAGTGTTTGGTGTTATGTGCTTAATCTGCACAAATCGCTTCATTTCAATTTCACCTTTTTATCCCAGGAAGCTACCCTATTTAGGATAGAGAAATTCTTATACATGGTTTGAATGACCCTATAAAATTGATTGAGAACAGCTAAATACCCTTATTGGCTTCTGACTTGTGAGAAAAAATTTCAGTATTCTCTTTCTTTTCTCAACACAGGGCTTTAGACATTTTGATGACATGGAAAACAGGTGGTCATGGACAATCTTTCAGATTGGCAGCCACTCAAGGCTGTCTTGCATCTGTTGTCAGTTTTGGAAGTGGGTCCTCTCCAAGTTACTCATTAATACCATTTTTAAAGCATGACTAAGCTACTCTTAGAGCACCACTCATTAATTCTGTCTTTTTCTGACCTGTAACAAGTCTTCCTCACCACTGGTATGTCAAAGGACTGTTTACTGTTTGCCTATATGGCATTCTTAGTTCAGATTTAGAGACCGGACTCACATAAAACTATTAGAGGGAAAACAGACTGGTAATTCCTCAGTAAGTGCACAATCACTGTAGGAATTACTTGTGGGGTTATATATCCTAAATGTGTGTTAAGAGGAAGGAATGAAGACTGTTTCTGTTCTTTTATCCTTTTTATCCTATTTCTTATGGATATGTAATGCTGGAATAAGTGAGATCAATTTTTTAAGTTTTTAACTTTCTTAAGCATTTATCATGTGATATCATATCCTGTGTGAAACTCCTATAGAATTGCAAAACTCATTTATTAATATCAACCACATTTTTATCTTCATATTCCATTAACCTTAGGACATTATACCAATCTACAAGGCATTATACCAACCTCATGAATACAGTGGTGTATTTACAATAGCATCACAGTACGGCTGGACAAGAGTGCTGTCCTCAACTCTGGAAACACATGTTGTCATTTAAAGGAAAATGTCCTAGTGAAAAATTCAACCTCCTGTGTAAAATATCATTCTATCTTCCATTAATTTGGCTTTGAGCTGGAAAGTGGATCAACATTCATCTTATGTAGGATGTTAATATCTGGCCTGCATCAGAGAAAGAAATTCACTATTTCCAAGAAATGTGTTATCATAGGCTGAGTCTTCAGACTAGAGTATCAGATGATAGAATTAGCAAAATATAAAGTAGCTACAAAAAAAATGGTTACATAATCGATAAAATAGAAGTTGCTGACATGGTAGACCTTTCTTGAAAAAAGTAATAAACTCTTCAGTAAACAAAAAGAATCCCCCAAGATTGTGGTCTCCTTGTCTGCTAAAAAGAATGGATCACGCCCACCTTTGATTTTCAGAAAAGGATCCCTTGCTTTTCCAGAATCTGAAAGACTGGAAACCATATCCCTCAGAAAATTAGATCAAGTACTTAAAAGTGCAGCATTTCATGACAATCTACAATTTACCATCAGATAATCTTTTTCTCCATATTCTCAAGGAAGTTTTAGTCTTCTGTTTTCAGAAGCCATTTAATTTTATTCTTTATTGGGGCACTAGTGTTGGGCATGGTGTGAAAATACACGTTTGTAGAGGTTTAAACCTGTAACCCCCAAAGATACAATGATGTAATCTAGTGTTACCTTAATAAACATAATGCAAAAAATAAACAGAAGTTAAAAGGTACAAGTAACTTACAATTCCAACTTCTCCATCTTTAGAACCTGATGATCATATGTATGTAGTTTTAAAAATAAATGAAATTTCTAGGTATATTGAAATAATTTGTCCCATTTTTATGAATTATTCTGTTCATTTATCTCACTCCTAATTGAAACCTGTAACTGGGGCTCTTTTTCTGCTTGTGTCTCTTGGTCAACAGTAGTAAAAGTGTTAACTTATTCTTTAGTGTAAACTGTACTATTATTTGTTCATTTTTTTTACTGTTAAGACATATTTTTTGATAGATCTAAGAACATGCAATCATCAACCTCTGCTTTTGTTATGTTCTTTCAGATTTTGTTTGATCCATTAAGCAAAATTAATAGAAAGGACTAGTTCCTAAGAATGAAAGAGTATTTAGAAATCATTACAGCAGGATGACAGAAAACAATATATTAAGCAGGAGTCAGTTTAATCACATTAGATCTAGATATTTCTCAGTTATTTATCTTTTCATTAAATTCTCTCTCGAATGCCAAATGTGCACTAGGTATGGTGGTGGTAGCGTTACGTGGGAATACAGTGGTGAACAAGGCAAAGGCAGATGTGATCTCTGGTCTATAGAACTTATAGTTAAGGAATTGAAATAAGTACTAAGAAGAAAAGTATGGAGTGCTATATGTAGGAGAATCCAACTACATGGAGAAAGTTAAGATGGTCTACCCAAGGAGGAGTAGGAGTGAAGCAGGCAAAAATGAAATATAAAGAACTTTGAATTCTTTTGGAACCATTTTGAGTCTTTCTCCTGCCATAACACATACACACACACACACACACACACACACACACACACACACACATGCTTATACTTACACACACATATACCAGTGCTATAAAGATTTAATATTAAGGATAAGTATTTCTGGGAAGACAACAATAAGACTGATTATATTTCTTTAACATAATTTCCCCAAGTTAATTGTTAGTAATTAAGGCAAAATAGATTATTGTGCATTTTGACTATGTGGTGTCCCAAATAAGTATTAATAATATAGTCTCCCTATTTGTAAAGTACCTTCAATTTTCTCTATTTCTGGTCTTTTCACTTGATTCCCAGAACCACAAACTCCTGTGTGGCTGACAAAATTCTGCTGGAATGCAGGCAACAGAACAGCACATGTCATTCCACTTATAACTATCTCATGCCTGCCTTCAGTTGAAAGGGATTTTGCTAATCTTAGAAACAACTAGAAGCATTTTCATTTAATTAAAATTAGTTCCCCTTTAACTGTTTAGTATTAAGTAATGGATGAATAGCCTCCAAATCTAAGCAACCATTTCCTTTTCCTTTAAAAGAAATTTAGCAATTTGATGAACAGAAAACCACCATTTACAGTGGTGATTTGCCTCGTGGCATCCTAGGTCTTAATTACATACAATCTCTGACAAGGCAAAGCAAATTCATGTTTTTCTCAGCAATGAGGACAGTAAGAAACAGTTATCTCTGAGGCTAGAAATTCTGAAACTGGAGCCTTTCATAGTTTATCCAGGAAATTTAAACATTTCCAAAACAACTGACGAAAAGACAGTGTGAACTTCTCAAGTGCTTTTTGAAGAGAAGTTATATAATCAAGGCCCACTGGAATGAGATCCTTTTGATTCGACAATGTTCTGTCTTATCACCCAGTGAATCAAGAATGGCAGAGAAATTATTTTGGGTTGTTTTACTGATTCTCCAGATATCTTCATTAAAATGGTATTTATTGATTACCTAAAATGTATTAGAATTAAAGACAGCTACCTAGAATGGAGATGGCAAATGCCTTTTAGTTTCTTTTTAAATGCCTGCTTCTGTTCTTCACTGCCTCCACAGCATAGTGATGTAGACAGGAAGAGAGATTAAATACTATTTTAATTGGTCAGCACATAAAAATACCTGCTATTCAACACAAGCAACATTTTCTTCTCTCATCCCAGAGATAAATCATTACTCGTTGTATCCAACCCAGCGAATATCTCTCCCCATGCCTTGTTCCACTCTCCATTGCTCTCCCCTGCCCTTCAAAATACTGACCCCCATTTATAAGTGCCTTAGACCAAGGACAATCTGGGGCCGTAAGGGACCTCAGAGGCCATCTAGTCCGATCACTCACCCTTGCTGCCCCCATCCTGAGAGTTACATCCATTTGGGGCACAAACTTGCAGCTTTGTGAAACTAATGCCTGTTATTCTCCCTGCTCTCTCCTTTGTCCCTACAGCGCCATGGCTACTTATTCTGCCACATGTGCCAACAATAGCCCTGCACAGGGCATCAACATGGCCAACAGCATTGCCAACCTGAGACTGAAGGCCAAGGAATATAGTTTACAGAGGAACCAGGTGCCAACAGTCAACTGAGGAAAAAAATAATTAAACAGGCCTAAGAAGAAATCAAAAACCATAAGACACCTATCCTGCTCTGTCATTTCTTCATCTGCTGGAAAAAAAAATAAAACCAAACAAAAACAGAACTAAAATATTGGGACCATGGCAGAGAAAAGCAGGAGAGGAAGCAAAAATGAAAATTAGTTAACAAATGTTCCTCCTCCCTCTGGGATATCACCACCACTTGTTTCTGTGTGTGTTAATTTTGTTTTTCCTTTCTATTCATGCGCTTTGCTTAATATACTCCGAGCTTCTTTCAGTTAGGTTCAGCCCACTCACCCTCATGATTGTATGGGTTTTTAAAAACATCTACAGCTGCCAAAGAAACTGTATATATATATATATATATATATATATATATATATATTCAGAATAATTGCCTTTGGTCTCCTCATTGACCTGTTGGAACCTCCGTGCCTTACCCTACCCTTTCCAGTTCTCTGTACAGAAGCTCTAGGAGTGTTTGAAAAGCCAAAGTCTTTCTGAAGAGTCTGCCAGACCCGATTCCCATCCTCACTATCTCCATCTCTGTTGGTTATGGTCAGCTATTGGGGGAAAACAAACCAAAAACATTGTGTCCAACACCTGGTTGCCGGTGTGTCTGACTCAATGTGTGATTGGCTGTGTTTGGCTAATTCTAAGCTCTAAGTTATAGATGTTAAGTTCTAAGCTGTTGGTGATAATATCACCATTACCATCACCCCTTGCCTACTTCCAAATAATCAGTCATCTTAAGTTAAAGATATTTGTTATTTTTGAATGAGTTGCTTCACAGGCTATTTAGTAGAAGGAAAAATTTTCACTTGTGAGAGGGAGAGAGAAATTTCTCTAGGAAAACAGACTGGGTTGTGAAAAGGATGGCCTATGTCTCTTTGGTGCCTTAAGGGTAGTCAGATGCACACTTATATATATACTGTATATATTTATATATTTTATATATATATATATATATAATATTCTTGCAAGCTTGAGTTTGCAGTTTCTCAAACATGTCGAAGAGAAATGTTGCACCATCACCACCATCCTTATCTCTCCAGTGATGAGACTTTTAATGAGGGATCTTGATCCTTTCTTTCTCTACACAATTCTCATTAAGGCCATAGAGAAGTTGTCAGGGCAGCTGTTTGAGAACAGATCTTATTTTCCCATTAGGGCTTTAAATAAAGAATAAATGGTTAGAGGCTATAAAAATGTCCTTGGATTTGGAGCCTGGGCCCTGGTGAAATGCTGATATGTCCTCCCTGTCCTGGGAATGACACCAAGAGAGAGGAGGAAAAGCCATTTAGTTGCCTGCTTTTCTCCACTCAACAGGACTATGAAAGATGTACATTTTAAGTGGAATACTTAAATGTTTGTCTAAATTCCAAAACCTTGAAAAGCAATTGTGGGCTCTTTTTATTTTCTAATATTTTGCAGTAAAGCTTAATGTCTGGGGCTGGGAGCTAGGACTGACCTTTCTTTGCTTCTTTCTCTGTGTCTCCAGTCATGCTTTTGTAACTCACCAGGTGGACTTGACCAAACCACATTACTATGCAGTGCCTCAGTTTACCTTTTTGTAAATGGGTTTAACAATACTTACCTACCTCACAGGGGTGTTGTGAGGCTCTATTCATTTGCTCCTTCATTCTTTCCTGTATCCTCTGCATGTCCAGCACTTTGTAGCCATTGGAGGAAAGAGACTATAAAAACAGACAATGCTAATGGAAGGATATAGTACCTGGAAGTCTTGTTTCCTAGCAGGGTAATGCTACTACTTGTACTTGGAAAATCGTCTTTTGTTATATAAATTTGAGTCTGTTGATTCTTTTCTCTTTTAACCTCCAAAACAGATCTGCTAGCATCTAAGGTTTCTCTTTACAGACCTCCCTAAAACCCATCATTTGACCAAAGAATAAGACACACAGAACGTGTAATTTTGACTTATATTTTCATCCTGATCAGCTTGATTCTAGTAATTTTAGTTATCAGTGATTAAAAGCTATAGAAAGATTTTGGCCATATGTGCCAACTTTGAGTGACAGGCAAGGAATTTTGGGTTTACGATGCACTTTCAGTACACATTTGTGTTTTCCCTTGACATATCAGATTGAGCTAATGGTGATCTTTTTTTCAGTCCGTAACCAACCTGAAAATGTATGTCAAATATCAGTTCTGTATTTCTTTCAGAAATAAGAAGGAAGCCCATCTTGTATCTTTTGCTTTCTTTGACTTATTTCTTTCTCTTTAAGTTTATTTCTTACTGAATGGTTTGTGTGGGCTGGCTGAACACACATTATTTGCTTCCTAACGAATCCCTTGACTTATTTTTTTTGTCCAACTAGCTGCCGCCAATGATTTTAAGTTTCCAAGGAACAGTTTATCCTAACAGATTAAAACATTGTTTGATTTGTGAAATAAGTGCAATCCAAGAAGTTGATAACTTTGGAAAAGTGGAGTTTAGGGAGTTAAAAGAGGATTGGGGTTATGGTGCAGGGAACAGAAATCATTCATGAGAAGATTTTGTGAAGAAGGGAGGAATCTTAGAAGAAAGAGAGAGAACATACATGCGAGAGACCAAAAGAAAGACAGAGAGAGAGAGTGAGAGAGAGAGAGAGAGAGAGAGAGAGAGCACCACGTGAGACAAAGTCATTTGAAGTTCTCATCCTGACATTCATTTTCAATTATGCACAGAAAAATCTGAACCTATAATCTGAATTCTAGGAGAAGCTAGGTGGTTCCACTCCATGCCTGGGCAGATGATGACTGAAGTACAATAGAGTAGCCTGTGCTGGTCAGTACCAGGAATGGTCCCTGCTGGTGAATCAACACCCCAAGTATCCATTATGAAACACTTGACCAAGAACTATGCACATGCTACAAGCACCCGGTTTTGCTTTTTTTATTAATGATGTTGAGAAAATACCAGTTTCATACGTGCTTTGGAGGAAGTCTTCTGGCTCTTCAGCCAGATGTCAACAGATGGCCTGGGGACCACAGAATTCAAAGGTATATGTCTGTTCCACATCAGTATTACCCCCAGATACAAATGAACACATATAAACTATCTGTCAATGCCCAAATCATCCCCAAACAAAATACTGATTTGTAGGGTACTTGGCAGTTTAAGTCAAACCCAAAGAGGTGACTTAATAAAAAAGGGAATGACATTAGGGTATAAAGTTCTCATAAAAATGTAATATGTAAATTATATCTTGCTTTATGATGTAAAATATACATTGTTTGCGCTAGAATAGAAATGATTCCTTTTCAATAAAAAGAAAGAAGGATACTACAAAATCGTCTTTTGTTACATAAATTTGAGTCTGTTGATTCTTTTCTCTTTCAACCTCCAAAACAGATCTGCTAGCATCTAAGGTTATATTCAGGAAAGAGTAAAAGTGAGAGGGGTTTATGAATAAGAGAACTTTTATCAGGGTGTAATATTATTTCCTAAAAAGGAAAATGGTGTATAGTTTCTCAAGAGTAAAGACAATGGTAGGAAGGAGAGGGGGCATTTCTACTAGAATAACAGATAAGTGCAGAGTGGAAATTTTACAAGAGTTTGATTTTATTTTACCAGCATCTTTAGCATCTATAATACCAGATATCATATGACAAAATAGACTTCATATAAAGCTCAACCTTTTATTTTAGAATAAAGTAACAAAGTCAAATTTCCTAAGTACCTATTGTGTATAGCATTGGGTGTGTGGTAATGGGAGGAACAGAAAGACCAAACTCTGACACTGGTTCTGTTTTCATACAAATTAAAATCTCACTTAAAAGGCAACTCTGGCATGAACATATTTATACAACAATTCAAGATGATAAATTAATGTCAAACAAATAGAGTGGATAGGAGTCCAGAAGAGGAGGGCTTTGAGCTGAAGAGGGAGAGGGTGCCACAGAGGAACTAGGTTTTGAATTTCATCAGCAGGATTCTGACAAGAGGAAAAGGCTTTCAAAAGGAGGAGTAGAGAGGAAAGATGAAGGTTGGGACACTGGAATGAGGAATTTGTGTTCAGAAGCCATGACAAAATAAACCCAGATGGAATGGAGTGGTTTTTTGGTTTTTGGGCTTTTTTGAAGCAGAAGTAAAATAAAATACTGGAAGGTGACATCCAGCCTTTATCTTAAAGGGTATGGAATGTCAGAGAAAGGAGTTGGACTTTTCCTCAGCTCAGAGAGATCTAGTGGAGGCTATGAACAGAAATAATATGTCATGCAGAAAAATACTACTTTAACAGGATTATTCTTGTAAAATAATGAAGAGAAATTAGAGCAAAACAGGAATTGGCTGATAAAAGATAGAAGGGAAAAAAAAAACAAAGAATGAAAAGGAAACAATTGACAAGGATAGAATCAATAGAACTTCATGGCAGAGAAAAAAGAATGGAGTCAAAGGCAACAAAGATTCAAACCTGAAACTAGGAGAATGAATCAATGGCAAAAAACAAAAGTTGACGAGACCCAGGAACAGGACACAATAATTGCAGTTCCTGCAAATCACGGACTCTGAAAACCCCAATTTAAGTGACCAGTAAGTGAAGACATAAAAGGAGGACTTGGCTCCAAGGTTTAGAATGTAGATAGCTGGTTGGATGGGATTCATGTTTAAGGACGGGCCTTATACCTCTATGTACAGAGTGAGTGAGTTCTTCCAGAGGAGAGACAGTCATCGTGATTCAAATAATTATTTTGATAGTTTTTGGAAGTAGTTTCAGCTCAGGCAGGAAGATTGGACTTTGAAGAACATCTGCACATGAGGACAGGGCTACTGAACATAATTTATAGGAGCTGTTTGGGAACTCAGAGGAGGATCAACTTATTAGCCCAGAGGTAACAAAAGAGAAGTTTTGAAATAAAAGGGAATGTTTAATATAATCAAGTGCTGCAGAGCAGACCAGCTAATTGGAGGTGGAGAGAGGGCCACCGTATTAGTGATTTTCTAGAATATAGTTTACTATATTCTAGTGCTGGAGAAGGAAGATAAATTGTGACAAATTATATATGAATTAGTGCTTTAAAAAATAGAATAAAGACTATAAATTATTTGCTTGAGATTTGGGGCATGAAGCCTTATTAATAAGGATTTTTTCCATTGCAGATAACAGAAAATTACCCGTTTAGTTCAAATTACAAGGGGTTTTTATTTGAAGGATACCTGGTGGAAACAGAGCAGCTCTGGGGAACCCTGTTCCAGGAGTGAGGCCCATCCTTTTAGACCTAGAAAGGTTCTTTATACACCTGCATCTCACCTGCACGTCTCTACCATGCCCCTCCCCTGGCTAGAGAGTCTGTGGAATCAGCCACATGTGCCCACCTGGAACCTGCAACCCGCCTTGTACAACCCCATCCTCCAGGTCCTTGGGAACTGGAACTCCCTCTCCAGATGAACTGGAGCCCACTTCTAGTGCCTACACAGGCTTTTTCTCCCGGGGTCACCGTTCTTAGGGTTTAGGGTATATAGATGGATCTTGGATACACATGCTGCCTGTGCAGTACAGGATGGGGTTAGGGTCAGAAAAGAAGTGGGTAGGCCACGAGGTTGGGGGGCAGAGAGTGCTAGAGTCTGACCCTTCTTTTAATACCATGTTCTGTAAAGAAACTATGAAAAGTTTGAGAATTCTAACTGCAAACTTGGGTTTTTCAATCCATTATGAAGATATATTCATGGAAATAGGTAGGTAGAGCATAATTTGTTGAAGCTTGTTAGCTGGATTTATAACACAAGTGCATGGATATAAATGCAGACCTATACCTCCTTTAAGACCTGGATTGGCTTCCTTTTGCCTCAGTTTCTGGATATTCCATTACCTAGAAACCAATGCCAGCAATTGTTGAGTCATGATTCTTGAATCTGTGTCTTAGAAACAGGACTCAGACTTCTGCTCCCTAGAACCTAAGGCTTCAGTCTAGTCTTTGCCTAGGGGCAGGGTGATAAAGGAGATTTGAAGAGTTAATATGCCCACATTAGGTGATTTATAGTGGGTGTGTGGTTCGTGACCTGATCTCAGGTCTGTGGGGAGAGGAGACAATGTTTGGGAAGAAGACAGTGTTTGAGATGTTTGGGAGGGGGCTGAGAAAGGATCTCTCTACAACCTTTTAAACCCCTATGTTACCATTGTTTCAAATTTCCTAACATTGCTTGAAGGGGACAATTCTTTTCATTTTGGAGTTTGCTATTGGCTGACCCTCGGGAGTCTTGGATATCTTGGTATTGGGTTGAGAGTCTACCTATCTCACAAAATACCTGAGGTCTTCTAGTTCTAGGTTTGAAGGTCAATAATAAATAACACCCTACTTCTTCCTATCAATTTCTATATTATCAGTTGCATTTCAGTTACAAGTAGCAGAAACCTAACTGGAATTAGGTTGAGATTAGGTTGATACTTCCATTTTTTTCATAACAATAAATTTATTTAATTTTATTTTATATATTTTTCACATTATTTTTCATTTTTGCACAATGTATACATTTTCATCTTTGTTATATTTCCCATACAATTCCCACCCCCCTTATTTTGACCCTAGATGGTTTAATTAGGGCATTTATTAGAAAGTTGGGGGCTAAGTCATGGAATGAAAAGATGAGCTATAAGAACCAGGGTAGTTCTGAGATGCTCAGATACTGGAACTAAGAGTTGAGATCATTAGAACTCTGTCTGTCTCTCATTTCTGGGGCAAGTTTTCTCATCTAGTAGGGAAAGTGGCTACCAGTAGCTGCTCATATACCATTTTGACTTTGGAGGAAAGATCTAAGAAACACAGTCTTACTATAAAAATCCTGGAACACTATTTTTTTGTCTCATTGTGTGCACGCCTGCCACCCATCTCTGTGCCTGCTGGTGCACTGAGCATCCAGATCTATTTGTATCAGGCGCCCCCTAGAACATCAGTGCAACTCTGCTGCTCTCTACTTCCCACTGTATTCACAAGTGCAGTGCTCAAGCCCCAGGGTATTTCTGCCAGCCTTACAGACAGACCATCAATTGAACCCATGGATAAGGCTCCCCATGGAGATCTATAGGCACACAATTATTGAGCATCAGTCCATAATGGGGGAGGCCACTTTGATCATGCATCATAGTGTTGGTTTTCCCTTATTTCCCTTGCCCCCGGGATCATTTTCCAAATAAATTACTTGCATGGCAGCCATTACCTTCAACGATGATATTTGGAAGGCCCAGAGTAAGAAAAAGCTCTATTCTTTTTGGATCTCTATGTGAATTGAGTAGTGACAACCTTTGGTTACCAGAAGAAAAGGAAAATGAAATGCAGGCAGACCAAAAAAAATAAATAAATAAACAACAAGGATCCTTTCAAATCAAGAAAGAAGAGAGAACACACTTTTGTTGTAAAAGATTTTCCAGTTCAATTGGTATTAAATATTTTCTTCTCTCCAGGTATTTACTGCAAATGAAAGCCATACAAACTCCTTTTCTCTTCCTGTAATGAGAAAACTAACATTTCAACAAGCCTGTTTGCTCTTCTTTCGAGCACACAGGTAGATTTTATTTCCCAGCGCCCCTTATGGTCAGATATGCTAATTTCTAGTCAGAGAATGTGAACAGAAGTTGTACATTTCCTGGCTCTTTTTTCCATCTGACTAATATGACAACCTTTGAGTAATCACGTTTTAAAGATGGTAAGCCAACAGTCAACCTGGGACTCTGAAAAGTGACTGCAAATAGCAAAGCTGCAACCCTTTCTGACCTGGTTCCACCTTGGAGTGTTACATGGTGGACAAATAAAGTTCCGTTCTGCTGAATCATTATATGCAAAGTTCTATCTGCTACTGCAACTCCTCCTAACCCAATTAGTAATATATCTCCTCCCCTTCTGTTCTCTCTCTCCATCCTACCTACATTTCAAGGTATTTTTTTTGTAACTCATAGACTTATAGCTCCCAATAACCATACATTCTAGTCTCCCACTTTGGATACTAGACTATACCGATATTTGAATACTATACTCTACAGATATGAGACATCTTGTGCCCTTTGGATGATGCACAATAAAGTAATTGGATGTTATAGTAAATGAACACACTAAGTAACATTCAATAAATTAATGCCTAACACTCTGGAGTTCCTGGAAAAAATCTCAAAATACTATTCTAGTTATTAAAAAGCAGCACCCCTAAAAGGAATGATAGCCCAGGCATCTACAAATTGAAAACATCTGAAAACTATTTTGTGGAGTCACATATTTATTTGCTTAGTGTCACCAGACAGAGGCAAAACAAGGCAGAAAGAGAAACTCACACATATGCACAAGAAGAGTAGACTGAAATGTTCCCTGCAACATAATTTGCAAAACATTGGAAACAAACGAAATGTCCATCACTAGGAGAAAAAATGAACCATGATATATACAGACAATGGAATAGTATTCAGAAATATAAAATGAATGAATGAAACATGACTGTATCTATCCACTTAGATATCTCTCAGAAACATTACTTTGGGCAGGGGGATAAACAAGCTGCAGAAGGACATATGACACTGTTGCTGTAAAGTTTTAAAAAGCATGCTAAAATCCTGGATTGTTTACAAATCCTACCTGTGTGTGGGAAAAATAGAAAAAGATGAATAAGAAAGAAAACCAATTTCAGTACAATTTCAGAGAAAGCAAGAGACAGGATGTGGGGGTACACTTGGTGCTTCCAATGCATATGAAACCTTTTATTTCTTTAAAGAACTATTTCTTAAAATATGAGAAGCAAATATGACAAATATTAACATTTAACAAAAGCTGACAGGTAGGCAACATGTTCATCATATTTGTCTCTC